CGTTTAAAACACAATGCCCATGTTGGGCAATTATCATCCCTGTAATTTAAACACACACACACAAGGTGAGTACGAGTGACAAACTGAGTTAACCAGTTAACCACCAGTTAGCACTACTACTCTGTCCCATTTACATCATTGATCTTAGTGTGATGTTATATGATTAAAATATGACCATGTGAATCATTGTTGCTACCACTGTTATATAATTGCAACAAATTTTGTACAAAGTATGTCATGTAAGGGTCTATGGAAAAATTATGATTTGCTTAATATGATTATCCTATTTGTACGCATGCATTTTTATATCTAAAGTTATGAATATTGGCGCTACCTGTATTTCAAATGTGTTTGCTTCTGGGTACTACCCATAAGGTATTTAGCCAGCACATTGTGAAGGGACTATTCAAGTTGAATGGCCCATCAAGGAACACTTAACTCACAATGGACCATGGAAGACGCCTATCCACACCTAGGGTTGCCAACTTTCTTACTGCAGAAAACAGAAAATTCTTGTCCTGCCCCCCCTTGCTCACTCCATCCCCCTCTTCTTCCCTCCCCCCCTTGCTCATTTTCACCAGGCTAGGGCAGGGGTTGGGTTGTGGGAGGGGATACAGGCTCTGGGCTGGGAGTGTGCCCCAGAAATGAGGGGTTCAGAGTGTGAGAGGGGGCTCTGGGCTGGGGCAGAGGGTTGGGGTGCAGGCTCTGGGAGGGAGTTTGGATGCTGGAAGCGGCTCAGGGCTGGGGCAGGGGGCTCTGGGAGCTCCAATGGGAGCTGCGGAGCCAGCGCTCAGGGCAGTACCTGTGCCAAGGAATCAGAGGGACATGCCGGCAGTTTCTGGGAGCTGCATGGCACTGGCCGCTGCAGCCAACTGGACTTTTAGTGGCCCTGTCAGCTGTGCTGACTGGAGTTGCCAGGTCCCATTTTGACCAGGCGTTCTGGTTGAAAACCAGATGCCTTGCAATCCTATCCACACCTGATGGACTTTCATGTGAACGTTCTAACTAGAGTATGGGTAATGGCATCTGCTATAACTCAGCAAAGCATGCAAGGGCATGTGACTAAATCATGACCCTAAATTCCATCTTGTTACCTGTATTTTTCCACAAACTGTGCAGAGGGCTTTGTTTGAAACAATAGGTTTTCCTCCACATGGCAGAAACTATCAAAGGCCCTGGAAACATCTCCATTTTGCCTCTTTCCTGCTCTGATCTCTGGACTATGGACTTATACTAATGGGACCCTTCTAACCAAGGGACTGAGGACCTTCCAATGATTTAGGAGCAACCAGAGACTTAACTGGTTAGCAGTTCATGCCATCACTGCTTCAAGCCTTATCCAAGAACTCTTTGCAACACTAAAGCTCACCATCTCTACTATGACACTGATCTCAGAACTGTACTCATGTCTGTATGTATAATCTTTTAACCAATACTCTTTTCTTTTTTAATAAATTTTAGTTTAGTTAATACGAATTGGCTGTAAGCATGTATTTGGTTAAGATCTGAAATATTCATTAAGCTGAGAGGTAATGTGTCCAATCCTTTGGGATTGGTAGAACTTTCATATTTGACTTGGCAGTCTGGGTGAAAGCCCAAGGCTGGGTTGCTTTAAGGGAACTGTATTTTGTCTTCTGGGTAACCAATAAGGTATTATAGAAGGTGTTTTGTGGCTAGCTTGGTGGATCTAAGTATTGGAAGGACCACCAGCTTTGGGGATTGTCTGCCCCATTCTGCAGTTTGCCCTAATTAAGTAACCTCAGTGTGGCTCCCCTGAGACTCCGGTCACACACAGCTCCGTAGGAAGTGCAATCCTACCGTAACTGTTGATTTTCACTGTGTATCCCCCAGCTGGTGGTTTCTCTTCCTCCGTAGTGTCTTCTTTTAGCTTGGGTGGTGGCTGGTTCTTGATTTCCATCTCTAGCTTGTACTTTTCTGCCATCAAGACATCATGAGTTCTTTTTCTTGTGGCTTTTGCCAGGAGCTCTTTCACCTCTTCCAAATCTTTCTCTAGCTGGGTTTAAGAACAGAAGATCATATATGTACATTAAACACATGCCTCTTTATCTGAGGTTTACTGCTGAGCCCATTCACTCATCTCAGTCACAGAAACTGGAGATGGATTATATGACTGAACAGGTCTTGTCCATCCCAACCCCACACCCTGGGGCCAATGTAAGACTGCTACCTATAGTGCTTTGCCCAGTCTAATTTTAGTATATGTGCTGCTATTAAATATTGCAAAGCAACAAGAATATTGCCGCTTCCCTATTAAACAGTCTGCAAATTTCTCCCAATGTTAAGCTTGCATTTTCTCTCTAAAAACTCCAGATATTTTAAGTTGTTTTTACTCATTGAGGCAGAGACTTTTTCTTCTGCGTTTGTATTAGCATAATGGGATCCTGGTCCAGGACTTGGACTCCTAGGTGCTATGATATAAATAAGAACAACATATGAGCTCCCATACTGGATCAGACCAATGGTTCATCAAGCCTAATATCCGGTCTCGGACAGTGGGCAATACCAGAGTGTACAGGATAGGGCAATTTGGAGAGACCCACCCATGTCTTCTCGTTTAGGGTCCCCCCCAAGCATGGGATTACATCCCAGACCATCTTGTAATAGATGGACCTATCCTCCATGAATGTATCTAATTATTTTTTGAACCCAGTTATACTTTTGGCCACCACAAAATCCATGGCAACCAGTTCCACAGGTTAATTGTTTGTTACATGAAGTATTTCCTTGTTTGTATTAAACAGGCTGCCTATTAATTTCATTGGGTGACCCCTGGTTTTTGTACTGGATGAAAGAGTAAATAATACTCCTCTATTCACTTTTCCACATCATTCATGATTTTATAGATCTCTATTATATCCCTGCTTAATCATCTCTTTTTTTTTAAGATGAAGAGCCCTAATCCTCTTAGTCTGTCATTGTATGGAAGATGTTCCATATCCTTGATCATTTTTTGTTGTCCTTCTCTGAACCTTTTGCTGTTCTGAACTGGACACAATATTCAAGATATGAGTGCACCATGCGTTTATATAGTGGTTTATATAGTGGCATAATGATATTTTCTATCAGTTAATAGTTCCTGATATCCTGTTAGCATTTTTAACTGCTGCTGGGCATTGAGCTGAAGTTTTCAGAGAAATATCCACAATGACTCCAAGATCTCTTTCTTGAGTAGTAACAGCCAATTTAGACCCCATAATTTTGTATGTACAGTTCATCTGCTATTTTGTTGCCTAGTCACTCAGTTTTGTGAGATTCCCTTGTAATTCTTTGCAATCAGCTTTGGACTTTACTATCTTGAATAATTTTGTATCATTTACAAACTTTGCCATTTCACTGTTCACTCCATTTTCCATATCATTAACGAATATGTTGAACAGCACAGGTTCCAGAACAGATCTTTAGGGGGCCATGCTGTTAATCTCTCCATTATGAAAAGTGACTGTTTTATTTCTATGCTTTGTTTCCTGTCTTTTAACCAGTTACTGATCAATGAGGGGACCTCTTATTCCATGACTACCTACTTTAAAGTTTTTGATGAAGGACCTTGTCAAAGGCTTTCTGAAAATCCCAGTATATTGATTAATCGCCCTTGTCCACACACGCTTTCTTTACACCCTCAAAGAATGCTAATAGACTGAGGAAGTCATGACTTCTTTTTACAAAAGCCATGTTGACTCTTGCCCAACAAATCGCATTCATCTAAGTGACTGATAATTCTGTTCTAGTGTCTATCAATTTGCCCAGTACTGAAGTTAGGCTGACTGGCCTGTAATTGCCAGGATCACCTCTGGGGCCTTTTTTAAAAATTGGAGTTACATTAGCTACCTTCCAGTCATGTGGTACAGAGGCTTGTGTGAATGGTAGGTTACAGACAAGCACGTGCTTGGGGCACGGCGGCACTTGATTTTTTTTTTTAAATAAAAAAAAATTTCTTTTATGGATTCGGCGGCGCTCGGAGGGGGGGCGGGGGCTTCGGGCGGCGTGGCGCTCGGAGGGGGGGGGGGGAAG